AGAGCCATGGTGGAAAAGGCGCTCGCGGTGAGACTCGAGGTGTTTTGCGATGAGCAAGGGTACGACCCGAACACGGATGTGGATGAGTGAGTCAGGCATGCGTCAAGTCCCTCCCACACTTCCCCCATCATTTCCTCCATCTGTTCGCGCGACAGGGAATTTTTTTTTTGCATCACTGAAATGTCTGCGCTGACGTCGTGTTGCTCGTCGCCAGCCGAGAGCGCATCTCTGCCCATTTCATCCTGCACAAGAAATCCACGCCGGAACATGCAGAAGGCACCATCCGCATCACTCCCTATCCCATTCCTCCTTCGCCCGAAGAAAAGGGAGACAAGTTCCCAGCAGGCTTCAAGAGTCCAAAAGATGATCAGTTGAGCGAGTCGTTCAGAAAGACGGCTAGGGGCGGGGATCCCAAAGCGGGGGCAAAGATCTCAAGAGTGGCCATCGCCAAGGAGGCGAGGGGACTAGGACTGTGCGTCTGAACCGTAGCCGGCCAGTCCTTCTTGCCTAGAGAGAGCATTTACAAACTCAAGTCTTGGCTCTCTTTTCCCCTTCTGCTCACAGCGGCTCGACCATGATGCAAGCCGTCGAGGACTGGCTGCTGCAAGTTTTGCAAGGCGATTCAAACGAGCCAGCATTGCCCAGCGTTGAGCTCGTCCTGAGCGCACAGGTAATCGCCAAAGGCTTCTACGACAAGTGAGTTTAGCGATGAATTGCTCGTGGACATGTGTCTCGCGCACAAGAGCTGACTTGCAAGTCCGACGTTTCCTCTCTCATCACGCGCTTCAAGGCTCGGGTTCAAATCTGACAATGTCGTCTATGACGAAGAGGGCGAGCCGCACCAGGTGAGGAAAATGGGGACGCTACACCTCCATACCTGACTCGCAGGTGCTCACCACCACTGCTTAATCTGCTTGCAGTGGTACACTAAGCAGGTCAGTCTCAGGTGATTTCGAGCGTCCCTCTCGGCCACAAAGTTCTTTTGAGGAATCCTCGACGAAACCTCGTAGAGTCGCGCATCATCTACCTGTACATTTATCTCTTTGCAAGGTCAGGTTGACCATGGGACAGCATTCGGTGGTGACAACATTGGCAAAGAACGGTGTAGAAGCCGAGGTTCGATCAGGGTCAGGCCGCGCGGCTAGAGTGAGCGGGCAAGCAAGATGCGCCAAATCGGCACAAGAGAGGTATCTGTTCGGAGTCCGAGATGCAAACGAGCCTCAACGGGTTCAATGAGGCGGGTTAGGAGTCGTTGCGCGAGAAGGGTTCTTGGACGATTGCTGCGAAGCACCTTCATGGCTCCGATGCAGGCTAATCCTTGAGAGAATCCTTGACAAGCCGCCCTCTCCCTCGCTTCCTGAAGCAGCATCTTCAGCGTACTTCTTCGCGCGCGTCTCTCTTTGTTGATGTCGAAGCCCTGCCTTGTCGAAAGTCCGCTCGAATAGCGTCCTGGGCCTATCCCTCTCCAGCTTCGCTTTGCGCTTCTCTTCAAAAGCAGCTTCGTCGTCTCCTTCCGTCGGTGCCAGCGAAGTCTGCTCAGATGCTGCGCTATCCGCTGCTCTCACCTCAGCAGCGTGCGCTGTGCCGTCGCGCGAGCCAGATCCGTTCGATGCCTGCCCTTGCGCATCAGCTTCCTGATCCTTCTTTTTACCAGCGCCAGCGATTATCGCATTTTGCTTGTCTTCCTTCTTGCTAGCCTTTTTCGCTTTGGTCTTTTTGGCCAATTTGCCGTACTGCTCGAGCGCCATCAAGGCCAAGAGAGCCTGGCAACGCGGCAGGAGGTTGTGTCAGCGCGAAAATGTCGCGCATGAGCGTTTGGCAATCACGCACCTTGGAAATGGAGACGTGGCTCAAATCAACGCCTCCGGCCTGCAGGGATGCAACAAACCACCTGAAGGCACCGCTGTTGGCCTTGTAATGCCCGCTGAGCGGGCTCAGGCTTGTGATCAGACCCTCCTTGAGCTTGATGAGACCCGCACTGAGCACTCGACCGCCATACAAGAAGCTGCTGTGCTGAAAGGTACCTGTCTTCTTGATTCCAATGTACAGTTCGTGGCGGGAGTTCAGCACGTAGATCCAGGTGTTGACGCCTACCGTCTTACGAAGCAGCGCATCGGTCCAACCCTTGCTGGTGAGCAGACCTAGCCTCCTCTCCTTCTTGGACAGATTGGCGCCGTAATGCTTTGCATCCTCCTTTGCCTCGGCTCGCTCTTCGCTGTCCGCATCGCTGCTTGAGCTGCTGCTGCTGCTGCTGCTGCTTTCGGAGCTCAGTGAAGCTATGCTGGAGCGTCGATCATCGCCATGACGCGCTGCTCTCCTCTCCGCCTTGATTCGCGCCTCCTCTTCTTGCTCCTCTGGACCAAGCTCTACAATGCCGCGCCCTTCACCAAGGTCCTTGTGCTTGCCGCGAGAAGTGTCCACTGGCTTTCCATTCCTTCGCCAGAACAGTCGCCCATCTTTGATGTCAACCAAGTAGTTGAAGCGCTGCTCGGCCTGTAGCACCGAAAGACACACAGAGAGAGAGAGAGATACGTGGTGCACTTGTCAGCCTCATTGTATCTCTGGCGTATCCGCTAGTTGCCCCAACTCACAGAGAGGTAGGTGACCTTCTCGCTATCGAGCCTTTCGCGGGGACACTCTTCGAGATCCACATGCTTTCCATCACCTTTGTCGAGCCAGTAGAAGAAGTTTTGATCTGTATCGGCCTTCATCCATACAGAGTGATAGTGCTTCAGATTGCTGCCGTATCTGTGGTTCACGTCGATGCCCTCCAGCCAATAGCTCTCCTCCATCATCTTGGACTGAGAGTTGGAATTCGTTCAAACGTGTAGAGACGTCAGCAGAAGATGGACAAGACTTTCTGATCGCACACCCGCGCCGTCCAACGACTTACGAGCTGTTGCGCTTTTGCGCCCCTGGTCCATCTTTCCAGCAGCTTCAAGCCATACTCGTGCTGGTGGGCGACGCTGGGCACATTGTCCACCTTGCCATCGCTCTGACCACCTGGCACGTCGCCGACCAAGCCGTGACTCTCTTCCCTAATAGGTTCCGTGTGCTTTCCGACCTCCTGCTGATGCTGTTCCTCTTGCTCCTCGGGATCAGGCAGACTGGGACCGCCCTTGACAGGTCCATCATCCGGAACCTGTGCACCGCCTGCTTCGCCACTTGCCTTGCTGCCCTCTTCTGCACCGCCAGAAGCTGGACTGCCAGCGAATTGCCCAACCATCAATCCTCCTCTGCGCCATCTATCTGCAGCGCTGTTCTTCGACCCTTCAGCATTCTGCTTTCCCGCTCCTTCCCTTCTCAGCCTCAGCACCGCATCGCCCCACCTATCATCAGCGCTCAAGGCGCATCCGCCCAAAGACCGCCTGGTGCGATATCCTCGATAGTTCTTTTGGATCGTTAGAGCTGCTGCGCGATCCTTGCTAGCCTCTATGGCTGCTGGTGAAGGATCTTCTTGTGGCATGTTGGGTTGAGCGTCTAGCGGTGCTCTGGATGCTCTGGATGCTGGTGGGCGGCGCTCTGCTGCCAGAGGAGAGGTACTCACTCAGTGCAGCAGGCACAGTTCTGCGCTTTGAAGAAGCCGGTGGATGACCGCGCAGACAAGCGTGGAGGTAGCGAGGATGCCGAGTGTGCGTCAAAGAGGATATCGTGGGCAAGATTGATGGACCTGCTGCTCGATCGCATATCGAACGCGCTGGTCTGGTGTAAACACAACAATCCGTGAATTGAATTGAATTGAATTGAAATTTGAGTGAGACCTTTCACTCACCTCACCGACCGACTGACTGACTGACTGACTTTCCGTGTCGAGAGGCGAGGCAGATGCACCCGCGGCGGGCGCTCACTCGTGATTCCTCACCAGCATGCACCCACCCACCACTCACCATCACTC